AAACGTAGATTCTCATTTTATACAGACAAATTATCATAAGATTGAATAAGTAACATATGCTCTTTATATACGGATTAAACATATCTATCGATTAGAACTATCAAACTAAATGTTTGTTTGTTGTTTAACGCCGCACTTAGCAATATTCAAGCTATAATGACGTCGGCCTGTGTAAATAATCGAGTCTGGACAAGACAATCCAGCCAAAAAATATGTAAACCAATTTACATATATGATTCTATCGTATCGCTCGCCCGTAGCCGTGGAGGTATCTATCACCATGGCAACCGAGGTGATACACGTACAAGTGAAGGATTGTGTCAAACTTGACAGCAGGCTGATATAACGAGCTGTGAATTGTTCAACTCCTACGAACATAGAACATGTCCAACGTTAAGCTGAGTAATGGTCGGGCAGGACTTGCTTACCCTGTTCGAACACCTCGAACACCTGGTGTCATCACTGAATTTCAGAGGTATTCATATATTTTTCACAGATTTGTTTACCCTTTATGCCACATGGAATCTGTTTGGGTTGATAATCAAGACTGGTTATTGTCTTGCATTGATGTTGCATATATTCCATTAAGCCGCGAGATATGGGGATCAACTCGATAAGCAGAGACACGACTGTACACGACCAACCCACACAGTAACACAATACCTGAGTAAAAATACACCAGAATAGAATATGTGTACATTCGGACACAGAGTAATGTTTGGCTGACGATCTCTATAATTACACGTACTCTAGCCACTAAAGACAATCTTATTTTCTGATAACAATCGCGATTCAGCTATTCTGACAATATCTCGACAGAATTATATACTTTAATTTGACCAAGGCACATGATACTGTTTACGAGTGAAGTTAAGTACGAAGACGAATGGCCGACCAGTTATTTGAATGACATCGATGTATGCGGGGTACGTGCGATTTCATAAGTTTAGAGTGAGTGAGTGAGTATGGTTTAACGCCCCTTTTAGCAATATTCCAGCAATATCACGGCGGGGAACACCAGAAATGGGCTTCACACATTGTACCCATGTCGGGAATCGAACCCGGGTCTTCGGCGTGACGATCGCGAGCGAACGCTTTAACCACTAGGCTACCCGACCGCCCCCATAAGTTTAGATGAAGGGCATAGAGGTGAATACAGATAGGAATGTTAACGAGTTAAGTTTGTCCTGTCAGCTCTATCTGACCACGACAACAAGATACCGTGGCCCTGACCTATGTCCGAATCGTGCTATAAATTTGACCCTTAACCTGTTTAAGATAACGGAATGTGGTCCGTTAGGTTGCAATACTCACAGTAAACTACGGTCATAACGAACACGCTTATAACTAACCGACGGATATAACGAACTTACTTTTTGGTCCCGACTACTTGCAGTAGTCATGCTGTATATGTACTTATAACGAACTACGGTTATAACGAACTAAAATTAGTCCCCTTGAGTTCGTTATAACCGTAGTTTACTGTATGTATGTTCGGTCTCAAGGGTGTCTTCAAAGATGACGGGGGCACGGGTGCCGCGATTCGCGCCGCGATTCGCTGTGCAGAGTTGCGTCCCTTGGGCACGCCAGAAACCTATGATTTTAGGTTCGAATCCCGTTTCGCCCCGATTATGTTTCTAGGTTTGTCAGCACCATACCCGTGCTCGTTGGTTTCACCGAAGTGGTAAACGTCTAAGACCTGCATCACTTTGGGCTATCTTCCCACATTAAGCTGACACACCGCGATATAACTGGAATACTGTTAAAAGAGGCGTTAAACCCAACTCACTCACTCTTTAAAGATGACGTTATTACCCATACGGTTAGAGTGAGTGAATGATTAAGTTGGGTTTAACGCCACTTTGAACAGTATTCCAATTATATCACGGCGTGTCAGCTTGATGTAAGTGAGTGAGTTGGGTTTTTTGCTGACATACCTTGAAGTTTAATCGGGCCGAACCAGGATTCGAACCAACAATCATAGGTTTCCGGCGTGCCCAAGGGACGTAACTCAGCACAGCAAATCGCGCCGCCTTAGACGACTGGGACACCCGTGCCCCCTGCTTGATTTAAGAGGAAAGTGATGCAGGTCTCAGGCGTTTACAATACTGGTGAAACCCAAGAGCCCGGGTATGGTGCTGACAAACCTGGACACCTACATGTCATAGGGGCGATCAGGGGTTGAAACACAATCGTAGGTTTCTGGCGTGCCAAAGGGACGCAACTGCTCACAGCGAATTGCAACGCCTTAGGCCCTTGCAATTTCAAACTGACAAATAAAGACTAGATGTTTATCAAAAGCTTCGTCGACGTCTGCGTGATATATTAACAAACACATGGCACCAAACAAAGCCAACAACTTCGTTAAAGTGGACGGTAGCATAACCAAAATGGTTAGTTCGTATAATCCATGATCTCATTTCACATTCTGTTGTTAGTGTTGTAACATTGAAGTACAATATTACAAATCAGGGGTACTGCCGGAGTCAGTTTCAACGTGTGCTCCGAGGTCAGATGCATGACTAAATTTGCCACATGTTTATTGGTGATTTGGTCAAAGACTGTTTTGATCCATCAAAACAAACTATGACAGGTTTGTACTGGTTGAAGATGACTTTCTCGTAAGCTATGGCAATTGAAAAAACACAACAAATCCCATGAATTTTGTACACAATTTGTTTCAGCAAACATTAAAAATCAGATGGGTTGGAATATGAAACCCCCACGCTCAAAGGAATAAAACCTTAAATAGTAGGCTATCTAAAACGATATCACAACAAACATTGTCCGTTTATATTCATTTTACCAAATTGCGGGAGGTATTGAAATCGAAACAAAAGCGATTGAAGTTGAATTCAAGGGCAACGTACCACATTGAGCCGATCATGTGTCCGTTATTTAGAATCTCCGTGAATCAGGTGAACTTTGTACAGGTCAAAATCCAACATAAATACACTGTGATTTAAGATCTGCTACACCCACAGTCAAATGCAGTTGGCCGCTGTGACGTCAAGCCGACTCAGAAAACAACAGGGGCGGTCGGGTAGCCCAGTGGTTAAAGCGTTCGTTCGTCAATCTACTATGACGATTACGTAATTAGGGATTTGAAAGCAACAAATCAGAATGTAGACGGCTTAATTTGGGAATTCGCAGCATTACCTCTCATAGAAATTTGAACTAGCGAGCCACAAGACGCAAGACGCAAGACGCAAATGACTACTGTAAGGTCTCAGCGCGTCAAATTAAAACCATCTTCCCGAGGCAAAGGAGTTAACTGAACATAAAAGTCCAGTTTCCACCCTTGCCGAACTAGGCTGGTATTATGGAGTTACGTTTTGTCTGGACTAACGAGTCTATGCATAGTCCAATCAAAATCGCGCACCGAAATCAAAATCCGGTTCGTAAACTGTCGTGCCGATTTTGATCGATTGCAGGGTTTGCAAAACATGTGTATCGCCAATTCATTGTCAGCAGATATTTTCCAAATCCTTTCATGTTTTTAATCAAGGTGCTCACGTGATTTGATGCATTTCGCGATTTAAGACCCGTTTTATCACAATATAGATCTTGATTATCGATCAGATCGTCCTGACTTGGCGCCACCATTTTGTGTGAAGCAAACGCAAGTGATACGAGAGGTGGAATCTGATTGGTCCATAGGAGAGGCTTAGAAGGGACATAATTGGTAATAGCCACTGGTGGCGCAACGATCGGCAAGGGTGGAGACTGGACTTTTAAAGTCAGTTAACTCCCTTGCCTCGGGAAGATGAATTAAAACAAGCACTGGCGTAAACATCCGAGTTGCGTGCGGAATGATTGTCGAAAAGCCGCCCCGTCCTTTCATACGGGCTATGCTGACTTTAAACCAAACATATTTAGTGGACATAACGCACAAAACTACACCCGCTCTGACACATCTTTGGCTTAAGCGACAATCTCATATGAAAAAATATGGGCGCAACTGCATAACTTGAATGCAAGGTTGACGAAACAGTCGAAGCCACAATCATAGGTGGCGTGTCAATTCTACCCAGAGAAATGCTGCGCCTTAAGGGGCTCTCACACACCGAGTTGCGTCCCTAGTAACTACCCGAGCTGACTCGGGGGGTACTCGTATGAAGCTCGTAGCGAGGTCGTACTAACCTCGTACTGATCTACGAGGGTTTTGGAACTGCTTAAAACAGTCGGGATGCAGCCAACTCTTAGGAAACTCGTAACAAACTCGTAACACACTCGTCCTATTCGTAGTGGTGGTGGTGGAATTGGGTTTAACGTCGCGTCCAAGATTATTACACTTATATAGCGACGTGCATGTACGTGTGTGTGTTTGTGTGGCTGCTTGTACTAGTCCGGACTGATGCCGATTTATAGTGCTAGCCCACTGTGATACCATGCCGAAATTTAACATGAATACCCCACTCAGACACAGTATACTGACTCCGAGCCGACCAGTCCTTGTTTTCGTTCGGCACACACACACATGTACACACACACATACACATACATCTTGGACGTGACGTTAAACCCCATTTCACCCCCCCCCCCCCCCCCCCCCCCCCTCTCTCTCCCCCTCTCTCTCCCTCTCTCCTCTCTCTCACGCATCTTTGCCTCCACACCAACCTCTGTTACCTGTCAAAGGCCTCGATAACACACACATCTATACCAATACATCCACCTTTCTTAACACACACACACACACACACACACACACACACACACACACACACACACACACACACACACACACACACACACACGCGCATCCCCTCCCTCCCCTCTCTCTCTCTCTCTCTCTCTCACACACACACACACACACACAAAACATGCCTAAACATTCACTCTTATCTCAATCGACCTTTGTGACTTGTGTCTGTGGATACTATCTGACCTATAATATTTTGCAGACCGCCGTCATAGAGCTTGAACATTGATGAGTGCGGCGTTAAACAACAAACATACCAACACATAGTGGATGGTAGCGTAGATGAAACTCCGTCTTCAATCAAGTTACAGCGCACTCCGCACACCCATCGAGGTAAGAAAGATGGACAAATAACTACAACACAAACCTATTTACAGGATTAATTGTTCTGGCGGATGCAGGGCGAGCTTCTGGTCATTACTTCTGCAATTTAGAACTGTCTACACATGAAACAGAACCAACTTTTACTGCATTGATCATGAATATGTTAGTTGGTTAGTTGGTTGGTTAGTTTGTTGTTTAACGCCGCACTCAGCAATATTCCAGCTATATGACGGCGGTCTGTAAATAATCGAGTCTGGACCAGACAATCCAGTGATTAATATCATGATCATCGATCCACGCAATTGGGATCGATGGCATGCATCAACCAAGTCAGCGAGCCTGACCACCCGATCCAGTTAGTCGCCTTTTACGACAAGCATAGGCGCCTTTTACGGCAAGCATGGGTTGCTGAAGACCTATTCTACCCCGAATCTTCACGGGTCCCATGAATATGTAAGTTATTATATTGACGCATAAGTTTATTGGCGTGGCTTCAGTGTGGAAAGACCTATGATGCTCAGCTGTGCAAGATTACACATGACACAAGCCTGTTGCGGCTTCTCTGTATTAATCTTATATAGGCATTTAGTGAGTGAGTGTTTATGGTTTTACGCCGCTTTTAGCAATATTCCAGCAATATCACGGCGGGGGACACCAGAAATGGGCTTCACACATTGTACCCATGTCGGGAATCGAACCCGGGTCTTCGGCTTGACGGGCGAACGCTTTAACCACTAGGCTACCCGACCGTCCCTATATAGGCATTTAGAAGAACAATGATACATGACACTTTTTTCACCCGATGAAGGGACAAGAACTTGCTCTGAAAGAAGTTGTTATCCATAACGTGTCATGTATTCACTCGACATGTGTTTACCAGAGAATATAACATAATTATATATAAGATAATAGGACGCAATCAACAAAGTCACCGAGACCTCACAACCCGATACCTTTGCCGCCTTTTACGACCATATTCGAACCTATTCTAACCTATTCGAACCTATCCGAACCTATTCGAACCTATAAGGACCTATAAGAACCTATTCGAACCTATAAGAACCTATAAGAACCTATAAGAACCTATTCGAACCTATAAGAACCTATTATAATCTATTCGAATCAATTCGAACCTATTTGAACCTACTCGAACCCATAAGAACCTATTCGAACCTTTAAGAACCTATTCTAACATATTCGAACCAATAAGAACCTATTAGAATCTATTCGAATCTATTCGAACCTATTAAAATCTATTCGAACCTATTAGAACCTATTGGAACCTATCAGAACCTATCCCCGAAATCCAAACGGGGATCAAAACGCAGTGTTACCCCAGAATATCAATACTATAAGAGATTTTGAAGAGCGTGTTGTATGACACGTTCAACGAATTATTACATGTGGTAGTCACAATGTAGCACGGAAACCTTACAACGGTTGCCAATACATTGAAGTCCAGTAGTACACTGGGTCCATGTTTGTCTATGCATGTTGTACACGGGTCATTTAGTATAATTGAACACGATTTGTACACGGATATATGCTCTTCAAAAAAAGAAGCGCAAAGCCAGATTTGTGTGGGGTAGGAAAATTCATTTATACGAGGAACCGTACAAGATATTGAGCCAAAATGTTGAGGAGAGAACACTTGGTGATTGTAGTCATCTCAGTTATCGGTACCTAGGAAAGGTCCAAGGTGAAGGTCAGCTACTATCAATAACGCGTATGTCCCCCGTTGGAATCGATAGTAGCCTGACATCTCCTGCCCATGGAAGAGACGAGTATGCATTCTGGGGAATTGTAGCCTACTCCGCCTGTAACGCAAAATCCAACTGCTGCAACGTCTTGGGTTGTAGTGGACGTCGGCGTAGCCGTCTATCCAATTCACCCCACAGGTGCTCTATCGGGTTCAAATCCTGGATCTGGTGGGCTACGGGAGAACATCAACGTTGTTGTTGTGTAGACAGATCGTATGATCCGTGCTGTATGCGGCCCTGCTGGAATACACCTATGCCGTTGGCTGACATGATGAGAGATAACCGCCCACATCATAACGCTACCCCTACCAAACCTGTCCACTTCCTGTACGCACTTTCTGGCGTAACGTTCTCCCCGACATCATTCTGTAGACTCGTGCTCTTCCATCCCCTCGACGGAGGAGAAATCTTGATTCGTCGCTGAAGCAGACATCTCTACATCGCAGTTAAGGCCATACCCTGTGTTGACGACACCAATGCAGTCGTTGTTGACGATGTTGTCGACTCAATATGACACGTCGAACAGGACGTCCTGCTCGTAGACCTGCTGCTCTTAAACGTTTTCGTACGGTCTGGTCGGAGATTCTGTTCAGTCCGGGTATTTGGGATGTGGTGGAGGTGGCTGTGGTCGTCCTTTCACATATGGGGCGCAGTCGAATGTAGCCATCTTGGGCGGGGATGATTACTCTTGGTCGTCCCGACCTTGGCCGATCACTTGTTGACCCATGCTGTTGAAACCGATCCCATAGCCTGTGATGGTGCTGGGCGCTACAATGAATACCCTTGCTACAGCTGATCGGGATTCCCCTGCCTTGCAAGCGGCCTATGACTGTGTTTCTTTGCACTTCTGTTAATCTTGGCATGTTGTTGAACTGTTACTATTCGATGCCCGGCAATGAAAAACCCTGCACTTTAAGCAAACGCTTTAACCACTTGGCTACCCAACCGCTATTATTAGGGAGATTGGTGTAACACTGATTGTGATGTCATTGGACATTGATTATGACATCATTGATATTGGGCAACGTCTCACATTAGCACACTATGTATATATGGAAACAATCAAAACTTTCGCTTTGATTTACATTGTATAATATATATTATATATATGCCGATCTTTACGGAAGCCTTTTAGGGCCATTTGTTTTTTTAAATTTTTTCGATACTATCTTGAAATTTCAAGATAGAGAAGTTGAAATTTCAAGATATTAAGTTGATATTTCAAGATTATTCACTTCAAACATATTTTTGCATCTTAGGATGATAAAAACTTATTATCTTAAAATTTCAAGAAAGGATCTTGAAATTTCAACTTAGTATCTTGAAATTTCAACTTAGAATCTTGAAAATTCAACTAAGTATCTTGAAATTTCAATATAGTATCTTGAAATTTCAACTTAGTGTCTTGAAATTTCAAGATAGTATCGAAAAATATTTAAAAAACCGAATGGCCCTAAAAGGTTTCCGTAGATCTTCTATACATTGTCTATTTTGAAAACGACTGTTGAATTTCAACACTGTGACATGAGTGAGTGAGTGAGTTTGGTTTAACGCCGCTTTTAACAGTATTACAGTTATATCACGGCGTGTCAGCTTAATGTGGGAGGAAAGCCCGAAGTGATGCAGGTCTAAGACGTTTACCAATTCGGCGAAACCCACGAGCACGGATAGTGTGCTGACAAACCTAGAAACATAATCGGGGCGAACCGGGATTCGAACCCACAATCATAGGTTTCTGGCGTGCCTAAGGGACACAACTCTGCACAGCGAATCGCACCGCCTTAGACGACTGGGCCACCCGTGCCCCCACTGTGACGTGAACAGAAATATGAAACAAATAACAACATTTGATCATTTCATTTTCTTTTCTTATGTTATCAATGCACATTTCTTCCCTTTAAGCAGCATGTCTATTGTCGAGGACTATGACATGGGAGGTAGCCCCATCAGCTTCCTGGAGGTCGATGGCTTTCGGTATCCTATCGTTGACCCAGAAATAGTCAAAGACATGTCGCAGCTGAAGGTCGAGGATGACGATATCTTACTACTGGCGTATCCAAAATCAGGTAGTTTCATCGGTATCTGCGTACGGTATCCCCTCATCCGTTCATCGCCTGACAGAAGTTTATCTATATGACACTACTGGGGGCTACAATTCGTCCCGTTAAAACGCCTGCCAATGTGCGCTGTAAATCCAACATCAACACCCCGACCGGCTACAAATCGCTCAAATATTTTAAAATTATATATACTAATCTAAACTTAGTCGCTCACCTTCAAGTCCGCGTAACTTTTTTAATCGAAAGTAAACACTACATACATGTAGGAATTCCAGATCGCAAACAAAACAACGGAGGTCGTTTCGAGGTGGCCGCCATCAACTTTTCCAAAACCTGTAAGAGTTTTCTCTTTCGATCTGGAACCCCAATTCAAAGTTCACTTTCGATGAAATAAATAAAACTAAAATACACATAGGTAAGTGACTAAGGAAGATATTGGTGTGTAGATTCAAACAAGACCCTGAGACGTCCAGCCCCTGTAGCTACAACTGTAGTCAACCACAAAGACTAGCTTCCCATGAAAGTATCTAAACCACAGGGTGCAGATAATCTCCCCGTGGTACTGTTGAATGACAGGTTAACCAAGGTATCCAATCAACTTCAGGGTGTCAGACTAAAGGCTACCCGCCCTTGTGAGCAGACAACTACTACCTTGCCAACGACCCTTTTCAGAGCCACCCAATGGTCTCATAATAATGCTTGAAACACAGGCTCGAAAGCTACCTTTTATTTGTCTGTTTTGTCTTCTGTTATAAGCTCGCAACTCAATCTTCCCACTGCGACGCGACGCGTCCCGCCCCTCCCCTCCCCTCCCCTCCCCTCACCCGCCCCTCACATCACCCGCCCCACCTACTTCCTCTTCCTCTCTCTCCCCAACGCATGCGCCACAACCCAATCCTGTCACACGTTCCGCAGGATCCCATTACAACCGGCGAAATCTCGTTACATCCCGCGACATCCCGTAACTTCCTGCGAGATCCCGGCACTTCCGCTGAGATGTAGAAGTGCGTAATAAATCCTGTAGCATACATTGGTATTTTTTCTAATGTCAGGATCCGACATCCCCGTGGCCAGTAGTAACACACAGAAAAACTTATATCAAACGATGATCAAACGGATGTGGGGATACGGTTACCGCAGCTACTTCAGCGTTAATAGTGACTAGTTTTGTTGGATATTAACTATCGCTCCGTCACCACTTGAAATTAAGAAAACAATATCATTGTCATGGAAGAATTATGATTGATTAAAGAATTAAAGAAACAATTGTTCATGTGCTAGTCTTTGGCTAGTCGTATGTTGGTTACATGACACTTGTATAGGGGGGGGAAGGGGGGGGGGGGGGGGGGGGGGTGACATAAATTATGCTGACGATTTAACCTTTACATCAAACGTCATATGAATGTCGTCCCACTCAGCAAGTTATTATTTATGACGTACTACCAAATACCAGTACAATACTCGAATTAGATGCCTGATGTCCCCAGGTACACATTGGACCTGGGAGATCACGTCCATGCTGCTCCAGGGTAAGGCGGAGACCATCCCTCATTGGAAGAGCAAAGTCATGGTGGAGCTGCAACCACAGGAAGTCATAGACGCCTTCCCAGCATCCCCTCGTGTCCTCAACACGCATGTCCGGTACAACCAACTTCCGTTACAAGCCAGAGAGAAGAAGTGTCGGATGATCTATGTCCTTAGAAATCCTAAGGATGTTGCCGTGTCCTTCTATAACCACCATAAATCTTTCGAGAATCTGTACAAGAATTACAATGGATCGTTAAACGATTATCTCCCTTTCTTTCTGGCTGGGAAAAGTAAGACATTTGTCATTTGTTTGTTTCTTTGTTATTTAACGCCGCAATCAAATTTGGATTATACACTCCAGTGATTAATATTGTGAGCAACCATCCAACTATCGCCATCAACCATGTCACCGAGCCTGACCACCTCATCTACATTTGCCATTGCAATCTCCTTGAAATCAGACCAATTACTCTGATTCGACATCTACCTATTTTTTTGGGCAAACCTTCCAGAGAGCTGTCACGTCAGGTGAACCTTGAAAAAACTTTCACCTCCACATGTAAATAGATTATGCGTGGGCTGGCGAGATAATCTGATGTCAGTTTTCTAAAACGAGATTGAACCTTTAGATTTGGAAATCTCGGTCTTCAGCAACCCATGCTTGCCTTAAAAGGCGACTATGCTTGTCGTAAAAGGCGACTTTACGAGATCGGGTGGTCAGGCTCGCTGACTTGGTTGATGCATGTCATCGATCTCAATTGCGTGGTTCGATGCTGATGATATTAATCACCGGATTGTCTGGTCCAGACTCGATTATTTACAGACCGCCGTCATATAGCTGGAACATTGCAGAGTGCGGCGTTAAACAACAAACCATCCATCCATCCCAACAAATACAAACCTCATAAAATAATAGTTTACTGTTTCACGCCGCTCTCAGCAATATCCCAGCTTTATGACAACAGCCTGTTAATAATCTAATCTGGACCAACAACTCAGTGATTTATATCATTAGCATCTATCCACGCAATACGTCAGGCAATACCAGTATGTCACACAATCGGTGACATGCGATCAACCAACCGAGTCTGGTTGCCTATTAAAACAGGCATAGACTGCTAGGGACCTAAACTGCCTGGCAAAAAAGGAATTATAGAGCCATGTTTGATAGTGGCTATAAATGAGACAAGAAGAAATGTTATTTGATGGTGATCTATTTAATACGGGTGTCAAAGTTGTGTTTTGGACCTGACGCTTGCAGTGTTGCGGCGATTGGTTTCAGGCTAGTAAGGTTTTGATAAATTCAAAATGTGCCATATTTTGGTCAAATTCATTTTTAAGGGGGTATGGGCAGTGTATTCTCTCAGCTGGAATCCACTTGGGTGGTGTACAAAACTGTTGGAAGAATGTGCCATGTCTATCCGAATACTTTGCCACATTGATTGGCATATTAGAACGTTCACATGACCTGATTTCCTATGTATATCTTGATGGAGAGAGTCATCGCATGGAGGAAAAGATCAGCTTATAATGTGATTTAAATTGGGGTGGGGCACTGAAATAAAGTCAGTAACGATTGTAATATTATGTTGTAGTTGTTGTAGCGGACTTCGGATCCCAGCTAAAGGCTCGACCATTTGAAACTTTTGATAACAAATTCTGATGACCAAATATTTTTAAGCCAGTGACTGGTGTTTGATGCATAAAAGTTTTCAAGTCATATGTGTAGAAGCAAATCATTCTCTTGTAGCGGACTACGGATCCTGGTTCGATTCTATCCTCCAGTGGGAGAAGGACATCGAGGCTCAGCGGGACAGACATCCAATACACTTTATTTACTATGAAGACATGAAGCAGGTCAGTGCTTCTATGGCTTATGTTCACTGAAATAGCGTCACAGCACAGAAGGTATGTATTATATTGGGGATATGAACACTTTGATCAATAACTTATGCATGGACTTGATATTGTCTCCAGAACCCCGTGGAAGAGATACGGAAATTGGCAGGGTTTCTGGGAGTATCTGGAGATGACTCACTGTACAACGCCGTGGCGGACAAATGTTCTTTTGAGAATATGAAGGAGGACAAGGAACCATATGATCCTAAGTTTAAGGGCAAACTTTTTGTTTACAGGAAAGGTAAGATAAAGGAGTTATGGGTAATAATAACGACATTATTGTTTTTGTTGTTTCACTTGTTGTTAAACGATGCTCTCGTCTAAAAAAAGTGAACATTAATTTCAAGAGGTTGTGTCCAAACCTCTACCTCCTTTTACAGGTTTTGTCAAAATGTCTTTACGTTTCTCTTCAAAATGCATCAAGCTAATTGTGTTTTATGACCGACTGTGCCAAAGGTCACCTTAACATCTAGCCCGCTGATGAGGGAATGTCTCAAAGGCATGTAAATAAATTAAAATGGGTTTTGAAATTAAAGTTGATTTTAAATACCTGTTTATGAAAACTGAATTAAACACCTTCCGAGTAGCTGCAAGTCAGGACATAACATCAACTGTCCCGTCTTTAAAGTCTGTGTCATCGTAGTATTTAAATCAGTAACGACAGGTGGAAGGACACCTCTTTACACTAGTACCCGCTTGTCGAAACTCTCTACCTTTTCTTTCTTCTTGGGATTTTGGATGACTTTGAAACAGAAAAGACTTTGCCTCCAGCAACATGCTACAAAGTTACAAACTCTTTCGGCTTAACAGCATAAACTCTGGTTGGTAAAACACACGCCCAGGGCAGTACGACTTTGAAGCAGAAACTGCAGTGCAATTTCTGACATTTGACACAAACGTAACTTAATCTAAAATCTCGTGAAATTTGAACCATGTTTCATACACAAAACATTCAAAGCTGTTCGCCCAAAGCTTCATCAAATTCCATTCTTAAATACTCAAGTGTACACAACCATTAATGTTGCCAAGTTCATTCTTGACTTTCAATTTTATCCAATCATATTTCAGATTTCCCCGTGGACAACTGGAATACTGTTAAACCCAACTCACTCACTCTACCATCATTATGTTCCTCGTTCCAGGTCAGGTTGGTGACTGGCAGAACTGGTTGACACCAGATCAGAACGAGATGTTTGACAAGCTGTACCAGGAGAAGATGAAGGACAGCAAATTCAAGGACAACATCAGGTTCACTCTGCCCTGAACAGAAGTGATACAAATGCGCGTAATATCAGAATACAACCACGGACTCCAATACTCAGAAATCAGAACTACGATGGCATTGGACTACGTGTCCATATCCAATGTAAGACACGTGAATGTATTCAAGACGTTGCTTCGATTCGGGTATAGTTTACTGTCTTGCGCTTTGTAACTTTATGTAAAACAAACTGAGATTGGAAAATCCAATCTCACCTTGTCATATGGCTGGAACTTGGAGAAATTGGACGTTGCATCATGCATTGTTTAAGTCAATGTAGACTTCTCAGCTTTTAGGATCAGATTGTTGAGAGTACATTGTAATCGTCACCCGCATTAATATTATTTAATGCTTGGAGGTTTAGAGGATAATGTTAAACAAAACTGGTTATCTGAGGTATTTACCGCTGGATTATCCTTTTTTTATTTGACATGATGTTGGGGAGTGCGACTGGTTGATATGGTTATGCATCTTGACTTGATTCAGTATCAAGATCTTAAGTCCTATCAAATTTACCACCAGAAATGTACATATTAAATACGCAGCATACTTTTTGTTATAACTGTGTAAGTTAAGGATGTTTCTACACAATCTTAAAATAAATCTGTTTAAAAGAAGCTGACTGTGCATTGTGATCATTTGTCATTTTTTACATGCGTAAACTGCACCGGCGACCCTGTTTCGCATATTATAAGGAATACTGACTAAATCGATGTCTTTGGGTGGTGACTTGCTCGCTGACTTGGTTGATGCATGCCATCTTGTCCCAAATGCGAGATCAAAGCTCATGATGCTAATCACTTGATTGTTTGGTCCGGTCTGGTTACAGACATAAAGCTCGAATATTGCTAAGTATGGCGTCAAACAACAAACAAACTTTGTGTGTCATGTCCTCAACAACCACCATGATTATGGGTGGGTGGCAAACCTGACATCATTTATACTGGCCAAACATACAAACTGGCTATAATTGTTTGTTACCAACGCGATCCGGTGGATGGTTTGTTTGTTATGGGACGCTTGTTTTTCTCGATACTCCAAATCAACATGTAGTTTTCCAGAAGACTTAACGTGTTAACTGACATCTTCCCGAGGCAAGGGAGTTAACTGACTTTAAAAGTGCATTTTCCACCCTTGCCGAACTAGACTTTAATTATATAGAGTAATAGTTTGGCTGGACCAACGGATCTATGCATAGTCCAATCAAAATGGCGAAACGAAATCGACATCCGGTTCGTAAACTGCCGTACAGGTTTCGGTCGATTGCAGGATTTGCATTGCATTTGTACCCGTTTCAATACACTATAGATTTTGATTATCGATCATATCGTCTTGAATGGGCGCAGCGGTTTTTGCTTGAAGCAAATCCAAGTGATATGCGAGGTGGAATCTGATTGGATAATAAGAGGGATATAGAAGGGACATAAACCGTAAAAAAACACTGGTGGCACTACGATCGAGCCCAGAAATGTCAGCCTCGGCAATTGTGGAAACTGGACTTTTATAGTCAGTTAACACCCTTGCCCCGGGAAGATGGTATATGAAGGCAACTCCCCTTTTATACCGTCACATATAGTCATATTTGGAACACCGAATCATTTAGACACCCGTCTGTGGGATATCTCCATTTCAACCGTGGTTACAGCACTCTGTATGCGATAACACTTCGGTCTCCCATCCAAAAAGGGGAGTGTTTTCAATGAAAATATAACGAGTATGAAACCTAAACATATATAGTTATTTAATAATGTCCAGTTCTGAGAATAGATAACATGAGATTGGATGTTTCGTGCCGTATTCCAATTCCATGGTTTGTTCAGTAGACCACGAAATACGAATGAGTGACATGATGGTCACAGATAGTCTCTTCAAATGCGGGGGGGGGGGGGGGGGGGGGGCACGAGTGGCCCAGTCGTCTAAGGAACTAACAAGTTTACGTGAAACATATTTTGTAGCGAAATATTCAAATGGATAAGGCACAAATGACACACGCATGTGTGCGTAAAAATGTTGTACATTTATGATTAGTGATTATGCACGATATATATATACAGTGCAGAAAATGAACTTGTGGAACATTTATACTTAGTGGTTAATTTATAACGTTTCTTTATGAAATGTTATTACGACAGCAGTCCGTGAATCGCTGAGAAATGAAGTCCTACAAATTAACTCAGAACACATTATCATTCAGACTGCCACATCTGTGCCTCAGAAGCATATTATCTATTGCACGATTTCTATCATTGATCATCTATCATCAAATATGGAGCTCGAATAACTTCTGAATGCGATCTTGTTTACTTTAAGCGATAGAAATACTTATTTTGCAATCTACCTTTAAGAAACTATACTAAATTACTTTTGAAACGTAATTGTTCTGGCAAAAGGAACACTTTTTTCGCAGATTATAATTTGAAACAGCTGATCTATTGTGAGGTAACACATTGTTTAGGTATGTCGTTCTTTATTATTTTGTGTTTTTAGTTGTATTTTGTGTTTTTTATAATGCTTCTTCTCTCTTTTAAAGGTAGAAATCCCATTTCGAAATAAAAGCCTTCCCTTGATGCAAAATTTGGTCAAGCCTGTAAAAATTCTAGCCTAGATAAGCTGTGTAAATATAGCCAGAACAGTTGTCCCATACCTCAGGAGAGTTTTCAAGAATAGGTGGTGTAAATGTCAGAGAGATCTTTGGTGAATTGTATCTATGTAATATATATTGACTCCCCACCCCATCCCAACCCCACTCTGGTAATAATACGGGGATCTCCTTTTGTTAGTACAGGCATCCCTTTGTGTTAGTACAGGCATCTCCTTTATGTTATTACACACATCTCCTTGTGTTAATACAGGCATCCCCTTGTGTTGGTACAGGCATCCCCTAGTGTTAGTACAGGCATCCCCTTGTGTTAGTACAGGCATCCCCTTGTGTTGGTACAGGCATCCCCTAGTGTTAGTACAGGCATCCCCTTGTGTTAGTACAGGCATCTCCTTGTGTTGGTACAGGCATCTCCTTGTGTTTGTACAGGCATATCCTTGTGTTAGTACAGGCATCTCCTTGTGTTAGTACAGGCATCTCCTTGTGTTGGTACAAGCATCACATTGTGTTTGTACAGGCATATCCTTGTGTTGGTACAGGCATCTCCTTGTGTTAGTGCAGGCATCCCCTTGTGTTAGTACAGGCATCTCCTTGTGTTAGTACAGGCATCTCCTTGTGTTAGTACAGGCATCTCCTGGTGTTTGTACAGGCATCTCCTTGTGTTGGTACAGGCATCCCCTTGTGTTAGTACAGGCATCCCCTTGTGTTAGTGCAGGCATCTCCTTGTGTTAGTACAGGCATCTCCTGGTGTTTGTACAGGCATCCCCTTGTGTTGGTACAGGCATCCCCTTGTGTTAATACAGGCATCGCCTTGTGTTTGTACAGGCATATCCTTGTGTTAGTACAGGCATCTCCTTGTGTTAATACAGGCATCTCCTGGTGTTTGTACAGGCATCTCCTTGTGTTAGTACAGGCATCTCCTTGTGTTAGTACAAGCATCCCCTTGTGTTAGTACAAGCATCTCCTTGTGTTAGGATATGCATCACCATGTGTTAGTACAGACATCTCCTCGCGTAAGTACAGGGCAATTCCTTGTGTTAGTGCAGGCCTCTCCTTGTGTTAGTGCATACTTCTCCTTGTGTAAGTAAAGGCAGATACTTTGGGCAAAAGACGTTTAACTTAAACCTCAGGTATGTCCATAATATGGAGCTGATGCACACGATGCTCGTGAGTGGACACAAAATAAAAGCTCGCAAAGAAGTTACAATCGTTATTGATCGACAACACAGACACTCTTTTTGCTCTGTCCTGTGTGGTTTCTGCCACCTCGGTTCAGCCTCCGCCTCAAGCTAAACAATCAGTTAACAAGGCCTTGTTTCGCGTTTTGGGAATAATCCTTGTCGAGAAAACACAAGATCTCTCTTAAATTTCAGGTTTCAAAACTGTGCATTAAACTTCGGATCTGGTGAAATTAGTGAAATTCAAACGCCATAGTCTTGACCTCGTTCTAATGTATTGTTTCCTGAAAGGCTGATAATAGGGCGGTTGAACATAACATTGAACTGATTGATAAACTGACGTCCAAAAGAAACTTTACCAACTAAAAATATAAATTTCAGACAAAGTATAATTTTGTTTTCGATGAAGTCTATCTAAAACACATAACCTCAATACAACAATAGTGTATGCAGAAAATGTTAATCGTCTGTTACATGTTTGCGAGATAACACGCGAAAAAGTGAAAAACACGTGCACCACGAACAACTGCAAATGCACGTGCGGGTAAAGGTATAAAACGATTGCAACGGCAAGTCAGACATCCACAGTGATAAAAAACACAAAAGACATGCCACGACTCACAGTCGAACAACGTGAACGAGCCTTGGGTATGGTACAGATGGGAGCCACCCATGCCCATATTGCACGAACCTTCGGTTGCTCTCGTGTTGCCGTTACCAACTTGATGCAACGTTACAGACAGACAGGACGGACAGCTGATCTATTGATCTTCTCAATACACTTTACTTCATGCATATATTTTTTGTTGTATTTGAGCAAGAGTGATTTCAAACTCTGGTAAAGTTTCTTTTGGACGACAGTTTATTTGTCTAGTGACATGTTACTCTTTTAAAATGGATGTCTACAGCGTTTTGTGAAAATGATTAAAAAGGAGTGTGGTTATTACTGTTGACTTATTATTTGTTGACCGTCTACAGTTATTTTTGTGTCAATTATTATACATGCAGTCTATGAAGTTTCTACTGTTGACATATTTGTTTACAAGTTTTTACTTCAAAATGTTTGAGAGTAATACACGTAAAAACCGGTGTGCATTCTTTTCGTAAATGCATAAATGCAAAAATTACTGAAGTCATTTCTTCAATAATAAAATCCATATTGGGATTATTCAGATCTGTCACAAACATATTTTCATTTGGTTGATAAGAAATATGTTTTATTCAGAATGTAAAGATACATGCTGTCGAGCAATTAGAAGTTTATCCTGTAATGGGAATCAGTTCCAAGGGAGATTACCCCAAAACTGTAATATTGGGACTGCACCCAAAGTTGGAGAATGACCTGTTCATGGAAATGTTTAGTAATAACAACGCATGTGGTCTGACGTTGATTAATGAATAATTTGCAAAATCGTATATGCAAGGGGCGGACGTATGGTTCTCAGTAGGAAGTGACAACTTGTAGACGATGGCTTGCGGTATATACAGTTTTACTTTATACATGTAGATATATACATACAAAAGACACTATTTGCCAGGTCAGCACATAGTGGTAGTGGTTGTTGTCTAGGTGCCCCGGAGCACCCAGCCTAACCCTAGCTAGGCTAAGGGTAAGATCTTTCTTTCTTCTTTTTCTCAATCTCTCTGGACCAAGGCTTATATAGCCAAGGTCACCTGACATTTACTAAGTAATAAATATAAATATATACAGTAATTCATCAGTGACATACTTGCACATCTCGTTCAGGATGGCAGAGCGCCGATGAACACAAAAATGGGGATTAACAATGAGGATAAGCATCTTATAAATAACAGCAATTAAGTGTTCCAAGGCATATAGATGGCATGACTCCCGGGTAATGAGCCTTTGCAATTAAATGTTCTTCAGACAACGGGTGTCGTAAATACGTCGCTATGACAGTAATAACGACACACGCCATCATTGGTCGAAAAGGAGAATGAAAGTGGCTATATTCAGACGGTCGAAAATGGCTAGCATTCTGACCATTGTCGATAGCTGCCAATCAAATGTCCCGTCGGGTTAGTTAGACTTTCAACATTCTCATCAATTCAATTTAATCCATCACCAAATAAGAAAGAATCACCATTGTGCTGGATCAAAGGCTCGTCTTCTGATGTAGCTTGTAACAGCGGCACATCGTCGTGGTCTCTTCGTGGATGGATTATCACGTTATTGAAACAGTTCGCAAAGCCAAGAATGTCTCCATTGTGACTCAAGGCTGTTGCATTCTGAATAGCAGCATTTCGCTGTTCTTGCATTGGGAGCAGCTCTTCATCTGAACTAACGTCCATGTTTTCTTCCTCCGGAAGTTCAGCGTTGTCCTGCTGTTGTCTAGTGATATTGTCAAATGTCACGTACTCCAGCATGTCACACTCTCCACAAGTAAGCTGCAATGATAAATGTAGATTGACACAACTTCAAAATTTTACAATAATATATCAGATGTACAACATATACGAGGGGCGTTCAATAAGTTTTGCAACTTCAATATGAGCCCAAGTCGTAGCATATCTTTTGCACTTTTATAGTCTGGGTTGTAGGGTGTGTGATCTAACTGTTCGAACCCAGACTTAGCCCCCCAGTGACTATTTCCTGTTCCGGCAAATGAAATCTGCCCCACGTGGAAGACAATTCCAGGATGACGAGGACATTAAGGCTGCCACAGAGACGTTGTTAGAGGGCCAATCTGCGGATTTCTATAAAAGTGGTACTGAAAGCTTGAAGGACAAATGGAATAAGTGTATTGAGGTGAATGGAGATTATATTGAAAAATAAAAGTGCAGAAGATATTCAGGGCTTCACACATTGTACCCATGTCGGGAATCGAACCCGGGTCTTCGGCGTGACGAGCGAACGCTTTAACCACTAGGCTACCCGACCGCCCCGCAAGCAGCAAGACAATATATACATCGTGTGAAAACTATAATGAGTTGCACAAATGTACATCTGTCAGAGGAATCTCCACAATCCCCTGTTAATAAGAGCTGACTAACGGAGGTTGGATGTTAGAGGTATCACTTGGATCTTTTTCTTTGCACCTGGATATTATATTTAGTCAGTTCTAGGTCTCTTGATTCGTATATAGAGTCAACATCTCATATCTTATACAAACAGCACATTTACTTTACATACAATATACACGTCAATCTATCTGAGTGGAACTTGAAAACGCTGTTTGTACTTACATGTTCTCTTTGAGGCTTTTGTGGTGCATTCATTTCCCTTGATCTCTTAGGATTATAAACCATGAAGAACAGACACATCAGCACCATTAACATCAGAAATGGCGTAACCGTAATTGGGCCATACACATTTATCAAGGGGTGACATACGTAATCTGTAAAACCTGCACTACCAGGTGGGCATGTTGACACGCAACTACCACCGGCGATGTAGAACATCTTCTCCTGACAATCATATTGATAAATGCATTTTTCTTGATAAATGTAGGTGTCTGATGGACAAATAGCGTAACAGTTGCTGTCCTTTCTGTTTGGTGCCTCTTGGGGGCAAGATGAAAAGCATGATCCGTTGTATAAGACATTTTTGCACTGGTAATTGTCTAGGCAGTCAAAACCTTTCGCGAAAAACCCTGACGGACATTGCGACTGACAGTTTCCGGAATGTTTATATGGGACATGAGGAGGACAATGTGGCAAACATGATCCATTGTATTTGACTGCGTCTGTTATCGTTGAGCAGTCGGATATAGAAACACATTTGTTGTCTGGGAATACGCTTGTGTTTGAAGGACATTCCAAGATGCATGTGTTGTGTAATTTATACTTAAACGTTGATGGACATTCATGAAGACATTTGGATTCATGAACAAACATCCCTTGCCCCTTGCACTCTTGATAACTTACACAGTTCATATCAGGCAAAGCAACAGTTTCCTGTGGGCACGTTTGGTAGCAGTGGCTTGACCTGATGTATGGGGATTCTTTTGGACATGCTGTTGCACATGTTCCGTCAGACACCATTTTCTTCATCTTTATACATTCGGATTCGCCAATGCATTGGAATTTCTCTGGGGCAGTAACAACAAAGTCTTCTGGGCAGGCAGGCTGGCAGAGGCCATTGGCTATGTAGGGCACTGCATTAGGACAATCAGATACACATGTTCTGTTGAAAATAAACCTACTGTTGTCTAAACACATAGAGGTGTAAACACACTGCATGTCAGCGATAACAGTTTCATCTGGACAAATTGTTACACACGTTCCGTAATGGTTTAAAGGTGCAGCTTGTGGACAGGCATCAACACAGGTATTGTTGAAGATTACTTTATAAAGGCCATATGCATCCAAGCATTGTTGCAAACCTATGCATGCTTCATCATTCAACACAGTGTTAGGAGGACATGTAGAGTAGCAGATACTATCTACTGCATACGGAGCTTCAGCAGGGCAAGTGGCAATACATTCATTTCGGAAACTAACCATATTTCGGCGATCAAAGGCATAAATGCATTCAGTTCCAAGAACACATTTCCCAGTTGGGCACAGTGCTGTGCATGATCCCTGGTCACTGAACATAGCTGCAGCTGGACAAACAGGAACACAAGTATTGTTGTATATAAATTGACCCAGCTTGCCAGTACACTCCTGTTTTGATAGACACTGGTTTCCATTTACCGTGACAGATTTGTCAGGTGGACATGAAGAATGACAGACACCTTGTAGGATAGACTGCTTGTTAGGAGGACAAACCTTAACACATGTCGTGTTGTCTATGAAATATCCCCTCTCCATACAGTCTGACTGAGACATACAATCGGACCCGTTCATAACAGTATCAACTGGGCATGCCTGATAACAAGTCCCATTTGTCTTGAAAGGCATGGAGGAAGGACAGGACGGCGCACAGGTGCCATTAAACAGGACCTGGTTGTTATGGGACACACAGTATGTCCCATTCAAGCAACGCGATCCTACCATGATCGTATGTGCCGGACACGTGTTGTAGCATGTGGAAGTGTCTTGTTGGTAACCCGTTCCGGGGGGACAGGAATGCACGCATGTCTTCCCATACACCACAAACGATCTACGTAGACAATCCTGTGTACTAATACACCTTTCCAAATGACCGGTTCCAATGACCAGAGGAGCGTTTGGGGGACAATAGTATGCACCCACTACAACGCAACCGTACAACAGGATACACAATTTCAAAATAAACATCATCTTTACAAATGGTTCAATGGAGTGGCAAGGCTGCATCCAGGTGCTGCTGTCTGAAAAAATTGATTTTGAATTTGACAAATCAAGCATACACCCTGTGTCTCTTCGTATGACAGTTGTATCATTTAAAATCACATGGTACATATCTGTTAAACTTGTTGAACTCATTACGATTGCAAATCGTTTATGCAATCACTTATTTTCCTTTATTTCATTATCTTATATTATAAAAATGAATAGATGGAAGTAGATTTGGTTGGTTGGTTTGTTGTTTAACGCCGCACTCAGCAATATTCCAGCTATATGACGGCGGTCTTTAAATAATCGAGTCTGGACCAGACAATCCAGTGGTTAATATCATGAGCATCGATCCTTTTTTTTTATCGATGACATGCATCAACCAAGTCAGCGAGCCTGACCACCTGATCCCGTTACTCGTCTCTTACGACAAGCATAGTCACCTTTTACGGCAAGCATGGGTGGCTGAAGATTTGATTGGTACATGTTATTTTGTAGCAGATGGCTCTTAAATTTAATCAAAGTAAACACGTATAACATATTGCTTTGTCTATATATATATATCAGCCAGGCTACACATTGTGACCTCCTCCTCATGATGTTTGGGTCTTAGGAACACGTATCATGTGACAATGGATTTTTGTGAAAAATATTATTTCTTTTTCTTGAAAAAAACCCCCTGGGTAACCAGTGAGTGTAAGTGTCATTTATATCAAATAAATCAAATACATTAACATACACTGTCTCTAAAGCAAACCTGTCTTTGGTATGTTCATAGTTCAATGTACTATGGTAATGGCCACGGGTCGAACGCCACAGCTTACTGCATGCAAACTGTTCGTTTATCAACAGTCCACTACAAACTAATGTCCATATGCCTGGTTTCACAATTAACCTGGCTTTAGCGTTTAAGCTAAAATATATCTACAGCTGACGAACATTAGTCCATGCAACACCTACCTTATGTTGGATCAGCATTTGAGAACACGGACACCCTTTGAATCCAGTGTGTGAAATGAAAACGAATGAGAAAGAAGGAAAAACCCGTCCTTGACATTGTTGTCCGGAAGCTGAGTCAGAATGCAGTGTCGCAGTTGGTCGCGTCAGTATCCGTCCCTTACCCAGCTAAACGCCACACGGTAACAAGGTACGTGAACTGTGTTTTGTATTTCTTAAGCATGCAGTAATACCCCTTCGATTGCACAATGACTGTGACACGCGGCCCCACGTCCTGCAGCAGACAGCACCCCAGGCCGTGGTGTGACGAGACACAAACCCTGTCCCAGTCACAGTAAATGTGTACCGAGGGGAATAGAGAGGCTTCGTAGACTGGCGTAGACTACCTCATAGTTGTCCCCGACAGTGGCTGTAGAAACGCGACAGCCCTCATCGATTCATATTTGATTGTTAGCCACATGTTGGGGTTGCGTAATTGCGTAATTGGCGATAGAGAAATGCATGGATTTCCCAGATCTATTAATAAACCTTTCGTGGAACATAAACCGGTTTCTCGGAACAGTCTTCAATCTATACAGTGGCTCTATTGCGTCGTTACGTGGCATGGTGGGCTTTATTCTAACAGCTAAAGGGGTAAGAATGTGACCGACCGAACCTATCCTCATGTCTTTTCAACACAGAAAGCACCAACAACTTTATCGTGACATAGTTTTGATCCCAGCGGAAGTGTTATATTTTGCCCTCCTACCTATGCGCGACATCGCGGTTTGTTAATATCCAGTGTCAAGTAAACATTTTCATAGCACGTGTTTGCAGTACGGGTCTACAAGAAAACAAATCGATTGAAACCCAATATGCCCCATCCCTTTCTCAGGACACTGAAATGTTTAACCTTCGGATCAAAACCATTATGTTTAATGTTAAAAAATATAATTCAACCACAGGAGGTGCGCGATGCGTTTATACATCTTTATCTCACCTTACATTAAAATACTAGCCTCTGATTGGTTAAGTTGTGGGCAATTTCTTTTGTTCAAGGCCGCCCGCTCATGTAGCTCAGATCTATTCACAACTGGCATGCCTTAATCCGCTGAGAAATCTGTCGGAACACACCATAGGTAACTTGCTTAACTCGCATAAGAATCGTTGAATGAAAGGAACCGATGTTTATCCGATTGCATTGGGGGAAGGGAAGTTTGCGTCCTCTGCTAGCTGTCAAAAGGACTTTATAAAAGCGGTTTACTCGGTGAAACTTCGGAGATCTATTCTGAATATGTATGAATGAATGTCGGTGAGATAAATTCGTCGGGAACCGATCCCTCGGGGTATTACGATGCTACATCACCTCATATACATCATCGTCATCATCATCATCATCATCATCATCATCTCTCTCTCTCTCTCTCTCTCTTGCTGACGGACGTCACGCGTGAACGGACGTCCCGTGACAACTCGTGAGTGCCGCTCTGCTGTAGATGACATCACGCAAGAGATGATATTGCAATTGTGTTTCGATGAACAATAAAATGTCCGGCAACTTCGTTTTGCGCCATTCCTGTTTGTAGGACTGCGCGTAAGCGTCAATTACGGTAAAACAAAATGAGCACCTGATAGCTAAACAATCATTGTGTGCTGTTCACATTAAAAAAAAACGCCTGTGTTTGTGTCATGCTCCTAACAAAATCGAAATGGTGCGACTTGCATTAACATGCAAATTGTGAATCATGACTTTAAAGTCGAGAAGATATCATGAATATGAACTGAAAGATGCATTATTTAATTTCAGAATAAATTTGTTTCTTAATCTTTATGAAGCACGGTTACCTGTTTCCGTTAGTATGTTACACGGTACCGATTGCTTGAAGTCGCTCTGATATGATCTCTTAGAATGCCGTTAATTTCAAGAGCTGGTTGGACCGCCTCCGTCGTCTAGTGGTAGGGCGTCCGGGGTTCGATCCCCGGCAGCGTCATGCCAAAAGACGTTAAACGATGGTACTTGTTGTTACCCTGTCTGGCGCTCGACATTAGGGGCTAAAAAAAGGACTGGTCGGCACGGAGTCAGTATACTGTGTCTGAGTGGGGTATTCATGTTAAACTGCGGCATGGTATTTCAGTGAGCTAGCACTATAAATCGGTATCAGTCCGGACTAGTACAAGCACCCCCCCCCCCCCCCCCCCCCCCACACACACACACACACACACATATATACACACACGTGCATGCACGTCGCTATATAAATGCAATAATCTTGGACACGACGTTGAACCCCATTTCACCTCTCCTCAAGAGCCAGTTGTTCTATTTCAGATTGCGGCTATACCACATGAGTCACGTATATTCTTGTGTTAAGTTGCTAGAGGTTGACCTGCAAAGGTATATATTCAAATATGTTCATCTCATAGACGTATGTTAAACATTTTTTAAGTTAAGTTTATTTTTCCGTATATTTTATTACTTGTTTTGATTGTGACTGACATATTGAAAAATGCAATTTTCACTCAGGTGCTCAGTCATTATCTTACTTCACATACAATAATTATGTTTTGACTTGTTTTGTGAAATTTGCCATAGCTTCACCTTTTGACCTTTCTGTACTGCTGTGGCTGCCAATAGTTCAATGGACGTGCTGTGAGGGTGTCTGTTTAGTAGATTCTTCTACTGCTTATTTCTTTTGCTTAATTTATATTTGCCCTGTCTGACCTAATATAATATTCCAGAGAAAACAACAAAGGTGAGCTACAGAGCGAATAGCTTTGTTTTCATACGCAGTGCAAGTGTCCTCTAAACACGTTTTATTTGAAAAATATACATTGACTCTTTCAGATATTGGAGAAATAAACAATGGCTACCTGGAGTGATGGCGATACCCTTATCCAGTTGGAAGAAGATGAGGAATATGACTTCGAGCTGGCACAACGCCGCATGGAGGCTGAGAGAGCTGCTAGGGAGGAAGAAGCGTTCCAAAGGAACACCCTGAATTTGGACATTCCCCCACTTCCAAATGGAAAAACGCACCATCTTTTCATTTCCCATTGTAATGATCCTCCGGAAGAAGCGGAATGGGCAGAGCAACTGGTCAACACCATGGAGCGAGACTTTGGCTTGAAATGCCTTTGGCCAAAACGAGACTTTACCCCCGGCCACGATGTTGGAGCCTTGATACAGAGTGGAATCGTGTCTTCTGTGAAGGTTGTCTTCATTCTTTCTCCTGCTTCCATGGAAAGCCGATGGTGCGAATATGAACGGAATTTTGCGTTTGGCATTTCTGTTGAGAATAAGGAAAATCAGATAATCCCTGTAATGTTAAGCCAGTGCGACTTTCCAGGCATTCTGAAGACCTTGAATTATATTGATGTTCCTGCCGGAGAGGACTATGCATTCAAAATTCGGCGATGCTTTGACGAAGACACACGTATGTATTATACATATTTCAATATTACCTTCAATACCGCACACGAAAAACACAAATCTCTTCCGGGACTGTTCCAAATACTGGACTCTGCGAAAATTAAAAGTTAATGTCTCCAAAACGAACGTAGTTGTATTTCCTCACAAACCAAAACTGCCCTTCCGCTTTTGAAAAAGATATTAGAAGTTGTATATAATTACTAGTACTAGTATATATATTGTTATTGTTATTGTACAGGGGCGGTCGGGTAGCCTAGTGGTTAAAGCGTTCGCTCGTCACGCCGAAGACCCGGGTTCGATTCCCGACATGGGTACAATGTGTGATGGGTACAATGTGTGAAGCCCATTTCTGGTGTCCCCCGCCTCGATATTGCTGGAATATTGCTAAAAGCGGCGTAAAACCACACTCAGTCAATCAGTCAGTCAGTCAGTCAGTGTTATTGTACAGACCACTCGAATATAAAATGTTGCCAAACTTGTCTACAAGTGTAAAAACAATAAATTACGCTTCATTGTACATTTACAAATTGCCACTTTATGAAACCTTGCAACCATATTATTGTTCCTATCATGTTGATTAATTATATCTATCGCATTATTGTATGCTCATTGGTGGCTCTATTGGGTAATAAACTGATTGAGAAGCAAAATGCTCCTAGATTGCCAATAGAACTGAGTGCAGGACCCCGTTCCAAATAGCGACCATAGCGCTACGACGGTCGTAAGTTTGTGTTAAAGTATGGTAGATACGATCACCTTTGCTCCCCGATCGCTTTTAATGGGGCGGTTAAGGCTGGAATTTTTGTCAAAATTGTACACTTTGGGTTAAAAGCATCAAACTTGGCACACTTATACACTTAATCATTCCGAACATTTCTGGATATGGATCCACCTCAGCAGCGCCACCTGGTGGTAGAAAATCCAAGATGGACGCAAAAATGGTTACAATATCTTATCATGTCTTTTATATTCAATTTATCGCAACTATTTTGTCATTGTTAGTACTTCGTCCAAAATTAATGGAAACAAGGTTGTATATAATTCAAATCTAATATGCAGCACCCAAAAATGTTCGGAATGATTCAATGTATAAGTGTGCCAAGTTTGGTGCTTTTAACCCAAAGTGCACAATTTTCGTCTTAACCGCCCTACTATTTGTGGAACGGGGCCAAGGAATGTTTCGTACCGTGGTATCTCAGCTATGTATCGCGCATTCATGTACACAGACAATGGGATCTTTGTCAGGCCGACCACTGGGTGACAGCATGACACCTTACGGGATCAGACACAAATGCAGTGGATCACGCGACATTGTAGACATCCGATTCGCTCTTGGTGGTCTTTTCGATTTTCAAGGGGTACTCACGTTGAATTCTACCCTGGAATCCTCAAATTGGCATACATCGTACAACTATTGATAAACACATTTCGGGAGGTCTTTGTGGTATGGTTCCACATAGGGATTAATGAGTACATATCTTAGAATTGTAGCCCATTTTCAGGAATAGAGCTTATTAAAGTGAATCTTTGTGATATATTGGTTAAAAGTTCTATGATATTTTGGTTTCAACTATTTATTGATATTTAAATCACGTTAATGCTCTTATTCTTTGTGATTCAGTGAGTTGGGTTTAACGCCGCTTTTAACATTATTCCAGTTAAATCGCGGCGTGTCAGCTTAATGTGGGAGGAAAGCCCGAAGTGATGCAGGTCTCAGACGTTTAAACATAATCGGGGCGAAACGGAATTCGAACCCTCAATCATATGTTTCTGGCGTGCCCAAGGGAAGCAACTCTGGTCAGCGAATCGCGGCGCCTCAGACGACTTGGCCACCCGTGCCCCCTGCTCTTATTCTGAAACCAGGCCTTGATTCCGTTTTGGAATATCACAATGATACATACACAAAATACATATGTGTGTGAAAAATAATGTGAGGGAGTCATGGACTTCAAAATTCCGGAATATCATTCGTCCATGTCGATGTTGCAAAGACATCACACATGTGTCCAAGGCTAAAGCACCTTTACATTTTAGTGAGCAATCTGCTACAGTACATGTATGCTGAACTGTAATTTTGATAGACTGTCAATAGGCATGTAGCTTCCCTGACAAGTTAGATTATGGACCCGTGAAGATCCGGGGTATCACTATAAGACGGGAACAATGTGGGCCCTAATTTTAGAAAATGGTTATAAGTAAGCTTGGCGATTTTTTAATGTGGTCCCTCCCGTTGCAGTCACTTTGACGGAAGAACGTCTACATACTAGGCAAAATACAAATGTGGGCCCACTTGTTTCGATCATCATATATGACGGGAACAATGTGGGCTCACATTTGAGAAAATGATTATCAATATTTAAGTAGAATTTCACGATGAATAAATGTGGTCCCTCCTGTTGCAATCAATATGACGGAAGAACGTCTTCACACATTTAGGAATTGATTATCAGAACTAACGAAACAACCTAACGAAGCTAGGCGAAATACAAATGTGGGCCCACTTGTTTCGATCACCATAGATGACGGGAAAAATGTCGGCCCACATTTTAGAAAATGGTTATCAGCACTAAACCAATCTTAGAAGATGTACAGATGGAAACATAAATATATAATGCATTCAAACATTTAATTAAGAATACGTTTTACCTTAGGGATAAGCTGGGCATTTAATAGCTGGACTAACAACGTACAACGTGGGTGACGCCATTTCTTGCAAATACGAAAACAACGGAGATAGCTCCCGTTTGAATTTAGAGTGACCTCCCTTTCCCAATATGAACCACTGATAATGCGGTTTCGCCGAGGCGACTAACGGGATAGTGTGGTCAGGCTCGCTGACTTGGTTGATGCATGCCATCGTATCCCAATTGCGTTGATCGATGCTCATGATATTAATCACTGGATTGATTGGTCCAGACTCGATTATTTACAGACCGCCGTCATATCCCCCTGGATGCCAGAGGGACATATATGTCCTTCCTCTACAACCCTCACTTTGAAGTCGAATAAAATTCAAAATACATCACTCACACAAATACACTTCACAGTTTTGAATAAGGTGGGAAATTACCTGTTCTGTGATATCATCCACTGGCATTTTAGGCCAAGCAAAATTACTGACAATGACCTCTGAAAATTAGGTACATCGTAAATGTCGCCATTTTTTACATATTACTAAATCACCTCTCACGGCGTTATTGACAGCATGTTTTGAAATCTAAATTTAGGATATTTACTCGGAGAAATGAATTTCCAAAATAGCATATTAGTGATCACGGGTATCTGTCTTTTATGAAATCACCAATGATCATTCCAAAACGTCTCCGATAACCCGAGAATCGTTTCGAATGTTTTGGAAAATACGCAAACACGAACGCCGAAGTGAACTTTCCGCCATATTGGATAGTGTTTACAAAATCACGTTTCAGGTACACCGGTTATGAGGCGCCTGTAACATCGCGTATATTTCAAACTTAGCTGCGATACACACATCCTTGAATTCCTCATACATTTTAGAATCAAATGACCAATGGTCTTTGTCACCAATACAAAGTGGCTGGATGAAATCAAGCAAAATATGTTAGGTGTGAAAACGAACGCTGTGCTCGAAAAACTGCACTTGTTTGAAATGTAAACAAAGCAAAAAACAGACTTTACACAGTGTAGCATTTTCTCCTATTTTGAGCTATCCATTCGTCTATTCTTTCAAGATATTGGCTCAACATTTTCAGAATATGCACGGGAAGAGAGTAGTAGGAAACATTAGGGAATTTAAAATAGATACACTGCAATGATTTGATATTTTCAACAGAAATTGTCAAAGTTACCGTCCTGTGTGACGCCATGACTGACGCAAAATCACGCACAACGACAACGGTATTTATCGGAATTTCTGCCTATTTTGGTTTTTTTCAATGAAAATTATAACAACAAATAACAGTACATAGATTGTCAGAATGTTTCTGATTACTTACATGTCATATTTATGTATATGCGATCCCTTAATCAACGAAAGTCCCCTCGTAAAATCCCGCGTACTGTTGACAGTGAACACCCATTTTGTAAAAGTGGGTCACAGGTAGTGATGTCATACGTCAACATTGTTGTACATATTTGGTAATTCCTTTGAGGTGAAGGTCCTTGAATGAGAGTGCACACGATCATTGTATCATGCTGTTTACAGTTTCAGTTATGATGTAGATTTTGCATATGTTTTATACATTTTTTCACAGAATTAATTTCCCTTTGGATATTTGTCAATGTTCAAAATGATATCATACGCAAATATAAGCCACAACATGAATGAACGAACCTTTGATAATCTCCTGTTTGTTTGAACATTATTTACATAACAATTGATAGGTTTTTAGTGTCGAATGCGATATTTCTTTCCTTTGGACAAATGTTACAAGATGAAGCGTAAAGGTAACTGCAGCATGTACGTATTTCTTGGGATGTGTAATAGTCAATATTATAAGTTCATATAACCAATGTCTTTGAATAGCTGTTTTATTTTATAACTAAAACTGAATAGATCTATATTACTTTAACAAAATGGATAATATTTTTCGTAAAAAGATATGCACACATTTCTGAAAAAATTGTCTTGGTCTTGGAATTGGTTTTGTTTTTTGTTTTTTGTCGTTTGATACACAGAGCCGTGATATCTAACGATTCGCCAGGTGCGTGTTAGCCACAAACAATTTACGAATTATTCCTCTCGTTTTGCATTATATAATCAATGGGTTCATTCTTTTTTTAATGTTGTGATCACAGGATATTAAACTGTTCACTTTATTTCTCTAGGAATTGTAAATTGTATAAAAATATAACCCATGCCAAGTACCCTAGCTAGCTGTTGGTTCAACCGTATACGATTGTCCTGACAATTTTATACCAATAGAGCTTTCTTCGCATCTTTTAGTGTGTAATTCTGAGACGAGATGAAGAGAAATAATAACAATATCTGTCCAATATTGAATATAATTTGGTTGTTTTGAAATA